TGATCTTCATTCATGCCTTGTGAAAACGTGCACAGATCATCTTTAGATCCGATATCAAAATTATACTCCTAAAGATATACAATATAGTTACTAGAAATAGCTGACCTTCTTTCCTTGAGGACCTTCTTAATACTACCTCTTGATTTACATCAATAGGAGGTTCATTATGAGCTTCAATTTCGTGGGCTGTTTGGTGTTCGACTGGTTGCTCGTCAAGGTCATCTGTTTGATTTCCTTAAAGAATAACCACATCTCTATCATTATACAACTTGATTTCCTCATGAGCTTCCTCAAATTCTATCCTACGAGAAAATGCACTCACGCTGGTTTTAGATTCTCAAGAAATTTAGCATTTCTAGCCTCAACTACTCTTGTAGAGTGTGAAGGACAATAAAACCGATATCCCTTAGAGTTATCTGAATAGCTAATGAAATAACCATTTATCCTCAGATCAAGTTTCTTTATGTGTATAATAAATCCTTAATGCAACTAGACAATCCATATATGCAATTTAGTTAAACTAGGCTTCCACCGTACCATAGTTCAAATAGTGTTTTAGGAACACTTTTAGCTGGAACCCTATTCAAAATATGCACTGCAGTTTTTAAGGCTTCGTTCCAAAGAGATTCATGAAGATTAGAATTACTAATCATGCTCCTCACCATGTCAATAAGCATGCTATTCCTCCTTTCTGATACATCATTTTGTTGTGGTGTACCTGGCATTTTATATTGGGCAATGATGCCCTCATCATTGAGGAATTTTATAAATAAAACCAGGCATTTGTCCATTTCCTGTGTACCTACCATAGCACTCTCCGCCTCCATCTAATCTAACAATTTTAATTTTCTTATCTTTTTGTTTCTCGACGTCCGCCTTATAGCTCTTAAAGGCATCTAGTGACTCTGCATTTATCAAAAAGGAGATAAAGATACATATATTTAGTATGGTCATCAATAAATGAGATAAAGTATCTCTGACCATTTAGATAAGTAGGCAGTAAAAGGTCCACATATATCAACATATATGATTTCCAAAACACTGGAACTTCTTTAATGCAATCCACATAAGTACCAAAACTAGAAAAATCAAGAGTTTTTAAACTACATCATTTACTAACCTTTTAATTCTCTCTATGGGTATATGTCCTAATCTCTTGAGCTATAAGGTAGAAGAATTCTCATTAATGAAAGTCCACTTTATGCTAATATCAACATACATATTCAAATAATTCGATTAAAACGTGGGATCTACATCAATGTTTTATAAATTATCAATTAAGGTTTCACTACCAACATGGACTTTATTCAATAAAATATCAAAATATGTTCCTTCAAAAATAAAAATCATAACTAGTAGAAACTAATTAAAACTGAAATCAAATTTCTAGATAATTCTGGACTATAAAGACATTTCCTAAATTGAATGTGAAACCGGTCTTTAAAATCAATCCAAAGGTTCTCATTGCTTCTACTTGTGAATGCATCTGATTTCCTGAGTAGATGCACTTTTCATTTCCATTCGGCTTCCTTAGGTTAAGAAAGCCATGTATGGTATTGACAATATGGATTGTAGAACCAGAATCATCCACTATGAATTATATAGAACTTCAACAAAAAAGGATTCATGACACACAAAATAGATGAAATTACTTTTTTTTATGAGACAGTTCTTATACTTAATACAATCTTTCTTTATATGCCCAACATTTTTGCAAAAGAAGCATTTGTCCTTGTCGCCATATTTATTCTTGGCACATTTTGCCTCTTCTTTTCTTGTTGAGCATGATTGTTCTTCCCAGTGCGTCCTTTATTATGAGTAGTCATATTAGCACTTTCAGGCTTCTCATACTTTAATCTCTCTTTCCCCTGAACACACATGGTCAATAATTCATTTGTAGACTATTTTTCCTTAAGTGTATTGTAAGAAATTTTAAGTGATCCATATTCAGAAAGAAGAGAGTTCAAAATAAAATGCACTAAGAATGACTTAGAAATTTCTATCTCAAGAGATTTGCGTTGAGCAGCGATGTCCCTCATTTCAATAATGTGCTCATGCACACTCCTAAAGAGTCGAAAGAGATTTTGTTTGGATATCATAGTGTTTTTCTTTTTGTGTTTTTGTAAAAAAATACCATGGTGTTATGTTTTTCCTTAAAGTATTTTCAAAACACCATGTTGAGTGTTTTTGTTCAACATTAGTTTGACCTATTATAACATTAGTATTAAACATACTATTAATATATTATACATTAATTATAATAAAATATATTATAAATAAAATATTATAATATTTAGTTTACATTATAATATTATTATAAGTATTAATATTATATTATATTATATTATATTATACTTTAATGAGTTATATTATTTTATAATTATTATTATATTATAATTATTACATATTATTTTCAAATAATTATATATTAATTATTTTGGTATATCAATTTGTTATTGTTATATTTTATATAATATTTCTAAAATAATATTAATTATACTTTAATGAGTTATGTTATTTTATAATTATTATTATATTATAAAATATTACATATTACGTTCAAATAATTATATACTTAATTATTTTGGTATATCAATTTGTTATTGTTATATATTATATAAATACTTTTAAAAAATATTATTTTATTATTAATATAATATTATACTATTATTAATAATGTTAATATTATTTTATTACTAATATATTATTAATAAATTTATATATTACAAATATTTTAATATTATATAATATATTATAGTTTCTAATATGTTAGAGTTTATTAATAATACTATAATAATTTATGATATAAATCAATATTATTATATTATGAAAACATTATTTTTACATTATTATATTATTATATAAGATATTTTAATTATTATATATTTATATTATTTAATATATTACTAATATATTAGATTAATTATAATATAATATAGTATAATATAATAAGTATGTTAATAATAACTATATATTAATTATATTTAATATATTATGTTAGATATTATATTAACACCTCCTTAAACTCAAAACCAAACAGCAAACTTAAAACACCTAAAAGGTATTTTGAAATAAGTGTTGTATTTTTGGTTTGAGGATGATTTAGCTCAAAAAACACTATGGTTTTCAAATGCATTGTGTTTTATTTTTGGGAAAAACACTATGGAAACAAGTAAAACACCATGGTATCTAAACGGAGCTGAATTTATTATTGTTTTGGGTTAATTGAAATAAGATATTAAAAAGCAATATTAAGAATAATTTTTCCTAGGCCCATAGGTGTGGAATAATTTATCTCTTCATATTAATTTTTATTAGTCTTATTAATAAAGCAAGAATAAATTCATGCATCATGCGACCTTTGCCCATAGGAAGCCTTAAATTTATTTTATATCTATTTCTAAACTAATATTAGTTGTTTAGAACTCAAGTTTTATTTCATAGCACAATTTTAAATCCTTGATTGTTGCAGCTATTCCTACCGCTTGTGTTGTTCCAATACTTTGTGATGATAATTTTGATGACTAGAAAGACAAAATCTTTTTCTCATTAGGGTGCATGGATCTGGACTTGACGCTTCATGTGGATCAACCACTTGATCCTGCTGAGGAAAGTACGCCACATGAGAAATAAATGTGTGAATGGTGGGAAAGATCAAACCGATTAAGATTGATGCATATTAAGTCTCATGTCAGTAAGAGCATCCGAGGGTCTATTTCAGATTGCTGTAAGGTCAAAGGCTACTTAAAAGCCATTGAAGAAAAATTTGTTAGCTCAGATAAAGCTTTGGTCAGCACCTTACTGAAGAGGTTTTATAGTTGAGCAGCTTTGACTCAGTAAGACCAAGGTAAAACTTCAATGCTGGTTACTTTATAGTTAATGCTGGTTACTTTATGTAAAAAAAAAGGGGGCAGCAAAGGGGAAGGTAAGCGAGAAATATGAGAAAGGATGCGGTTATGGGATAAGAATAGGGGTGCCAAACCGTATCCGTATCCGAGGAAATATCCGTAACCGTATACGTTAGGATACGAATATGGTTACTCAAATCTATTACTGATAGGATATGGTTGCGGATATGGTTTTGTTGTGAAATATCCGTATCCGTATCCGAAAATATCCGAATGCATATTGGTAATACTCTTACTATAGTTTCGATTCTTAGATTATGGATTTGTGGTTAATTTTGATGATCAAGATGTCTAATCTTAGCTTTTCAATCATAATGAACATATTAACGAACTCTTTTTGTATCACATGACTATATTTTTTCTAAATACTATCTAGTTTTCTCATATCCTTTTTGTATCCACATGCATATCCGTTTATATATCTGCATCTATATCTGTAACCGTATCCGATTTTGGCGGATATGGATATGAATTTTTCTTACCGACGTATATCTGTATCCGTATCCGTATCCGAGATGGGTAAGTGGATATGGATATGGTAAGTGCCATATCTGAACCGTATCCGCTCCGTTAACACCCCTAGATAAGAAGATAATAAAAGTAAAGTAGAATGACCAAAATGTCCTTTGTGAATTAAAATTTACATAAATTTATATTTTCGGAGCAACGAAGCAAGTGCTCAATTTTTATAGTTTATGCTGTCGAATTTAGATGTTTTAGCACTTACGCGGTGTAGTTTGCTTGCTGTTTTGGATAAAAAAAAATTATGTAGTTACCACAGTTCTTCAGTGACCTCTTGATGTCAAGTATGACATATATAGTCATTACTTTTCTCTGAGAAAATTTTGGTTGCTCTCTCAACTCTACAAACTATCAAACAATGAGAGAAATAGAATTTGTTATTTACATATTGCAAATAAGCGAGAGGTAAAACCGATATTGATACCTATTTAAGATTTATTACCAAGTCGGAGATGTTATTTGCTAGTTCTAGTTTCTTTATTACCTATGTATACTACAAATATTATCCTCTTAGCTTTTTTACATCTCTTTAAATATTCTCTCTTTTATCAAAGAATTTCTCAAATTCGATAGTATAGGAGATAATTGGATTATACACTGTTTATAAATATGTTTTATAACAGAAGTACACTGTTTATAAATATGTTTAATAACAAAACTAAGGAAATCAATCTTCTAACCACCTAATTCCATAAGGCGATAGAAAGATGAGCCCTAAAAAAAATTTACAGCAAAAGATTGTAGAAATGCCAAAAGGGAACTTTGCACGCAACTGATACAACACACTAAACCTAATCCTCCTTAAGCCAAGCCCGGGGAGAACTCTTTGCGTTGCTTGAGTTGTACAAGCTAAAGGTTTCGCTTAAGACGCAACTATAAGCTCCAAAATCTTTTCCTGCGTAGAGACGCCAACAGGCATTGCACCCAAGCTGTAACTGGTTTCATATACATCGCTATTTTTAACCACCACCACCATTTGGTATTTCTTGTCGACGATCAGATCAATTACTCGGCCAAGTAATTGATATAGATGTGGTAACGCAAGGTGGCGGTCCCCTCATCAACGACGAAACAGGTGCATCCAGCTGCACGGGCATTCATAGAAAAAGGTATGAGCAGAGAAAATAAAAATAACCACCACCACACAAATCATAAGGAACATCCATGATAACGTTAGTACTTTTTTTGGTCAAAATGGTTCCCAGAGGGAGCATTAACTGTAATTTGAGAAAGCTCTTCAATAAACAGAGAGTTTCTAAATCAGCAATCTGCCGCTAACCATCCATAACCACAGCTAAATCAGCTGCAAGAAGGGATCCTACCATGGTATTGATGGGGAGTTGGTGGGCAGGTTCACGTAACATTTCTTATCAACTAGCATTCATTATCAAAGAACTCAAATAACCAAATGACATTAGAATCCCATAATAAAGAATAATAACATCAAGAGACAACCTCAAAACGAAAATAACGCATCCTAATTTCTGTCAACTCATGTACGGTTTCTAAGCCACAGAAGAGTGACAGGACTATCAAACTAATTTCAAGTGTACCTAATGATGAACTCATGAGGGATAAATCATCTAAGACCTCGCAATTAATTGAACATTGAAATGTGCAAATACTTCATAAACATCTTACGAGCTAGAAAAAAAAAACTTTTTGTATATATGTGGCTTTTTCAGCCAAATTCTTCACAGATTATCTCGAAAGATCCATGGATTTTTTATAACATGTTCAACCAGTTCAATGGTATTTATTCCTTACCTGGGAAGTATTGGGTTATGACACTATTGTTTCTGATTTTCTCATTCAGTTTTCACTATGATTTAATGATATTATAACTAACTAGCATGCAGTTGAGTGCACTGGAATATCAAATTCAGTAATCTGAAAAACTGAGATGTTGTGTGTGAATTCACTACCTTATCCAACACTCTAGCCAGTTAGAAGTTCATGAATTACACATGCATGCGTCTAAAATGAAAATGAGCTTGTAAGTTTATTTAAACAATTAAGATGCTAAGAGGAAAACATATATTTTTCGAGGTACTTTTGTACCCATGCAAATGTAAAAAGAGATAATATGGCTGTCAAGAACATGCTACAGGATGTAATGAGATTCATAATGCACAATACATGGATATTCTAATCTGATATGGGATTCATGATACACACTGCAAGTAGATAAAATGTGTATAACCAGCTAACTATAGTTTTTAGAAGCACTTTGAGGTAGCAGGATATTTATACTAGAGGCAGTCGGCATTAACTACACCACAGAGACACATGAATCATGCAGGAGGTACACCTATTTGTGAAGGAATACAAATGTAAAGCCTCCTTTCACCAGGCATAACTATTCGCCTCAAGTGATATTGCATTTGTAAATTTGTGACATAGTGATCCTGAGACGCTAGTATCATCTGAAGAATGGTAAGAAATGAGGATAGTTATCTTATTTCTCTGTGACTGTCCATTTACGATCTATAGACAGTCCAAAGTTTATTGCTAATCCAAAAAAGCAGAATTACCTCTTTACAGTCATCAGGATGCACAATTCCAACACAGCTACGCCAGTCCTCTATAACAGGAACAACAGAATCTTTAAGAAAACACATCATAACTTCCTTCAACGGCAAGTTAGCAGGTAATGGTATTGCTTCTTTGAATGCAAGCATATATTTGTCAACTGGATCATCTAAAGAAATCCGGATAACAAGAGATATGAAAGGTGATTATTGTACATATTTGGAAGGGAATGCAAGAATTGGTAGAGGAGTAAGACAAACACCTGAGTGAGAATGTAAGGGGCAAACAACAAACTAGCATATCATGATATAACCTGTAATTTACAGCAACCTACACAGTAATAAACTAAATAATCTTTCTATTTCTTAAGCAAAACCTTTTCTGCATGAATTATTGTTTTGAAGTCGCATAATATAATGGCCTAAAAACACAAAGTTACTATATATGCATATAAAAATGCACGAAGAAATATTTAAACTTCATGTATAAACATGTAACAACAAGCAAATAGATGCGTCTACAAATGCAGACCTATTGTATATTTTAGGAAAATTATTACTTTAACATAATGTTTTTTTTCATTTGGGGCAGAATTTTGATCCTGTCATTGCATTGTTGGGAGCATACTAAAACTCCCAGAGAAAACATTTACAACAATCATGAAGAAAACATATACCTAGGAATTTTGGGGCCCAATGCGAAATATTAGATGAGGCCTAAGTGGTACAACTCATAATAGATTTTATCTCATTCTTAACTTTTGAGTTGCAAAATTACTAATTAAAGTTTTATATTCGATACTTTCTAACATATTATTTTCGATAGATAATATTGCTAAATCATTCAATCTATCTTGTAACATGGTCGATCTTAAATACGATTTTAGTAATTTTAATTTTGAAAAACTTCTTTCAGCAGAAGCAACTGTTACGGGTATAGTCAATAGTACACGATAAGCAATACAAGTATGAAAAACTTCTTTCAGCAGAAGCAACTGTTACGGGTATAGTCAATAGTACACGATAAGCAATACAAGTATTTGGAAAAGAATCTAACCACTTTATATAGTTCAACACTTCAATTGGACTATTAATCTCTACTTTTAAATTTTCCCTAAGCACTCTCAATTCTGAAAACAAATCAAGTCCATTAATATCTAAATGTTCATCATATTTTAGTGCACTTTCGAGAGTAAGACAATATTCTTTCAATTCAACATCATCTAAAGCTTTTAATTTTTTCAAATCAAACAAAAAACCAAAAATTTTTTCATACGTTTTAAATTGTTCAAACCTACTTTCAATTGAGCAAAGCGATTCATCAACTATGTATAAGAAATATTCAATACGAAAAGATTCTTCAGCGTTAAATATTGTTTCATTACCAATATTTTCATCAAATTGTTTTTTTCTATAAATTTTACGTTTTTCACGAAATATAGGATGTACGTTCATTTCATTAGCAAGTTCTTTAGTTGAATTCAAAGCAGACATAAAACCATTTTGTCTATAATTTTCTAAATATACAATAAGACTCTTTAATTGATCTATGACAATATCAATATGCATATCTTTAGATTGTAAGATTTTACTAACTGAATTAACAGCAAACAATATGTCATACCAAATATTCATAGCTAATAAGAATTCAAAATTTTCAATCTCATAAGTTGCTAAGCTATTAGCTTCACTTTTTATCTTTGGATCTTCACTAATTTCTGCTAATTGAATCAAAGCATCTCTTATATTTGGAGCTTGAAATTTTATTGCTTTAACACTTTCAATCCGACTTTCCCATCTAGTTTGAGATAAAGATTTAACGGATAACTTGCATCCATTATCTTCTAAAATTTTCCATCGTTTAGTAGAGGAAGCAAACAATGAGTATATACGTCGCAACACTCCAAAAAAAGAAATAGCTCTAGGACATGAATTAGCTATATCACATAAGACTAAAGTTAACTTATGACAACCACATGGTGTGTAGAATGCTCTAGGATTTATATCTAATAGCCTCTTTTGTACTCCATTGTGTTTTCCTTTCATATTAGATCCATTATCATAACTTTGCCCTCTTATTTCTTTAACATCAAGTTCATATGTTTTCAAAATATTTAAAAGTTCATCAAAAAGGCATTTTCCCGAAGTATTATCTACTTTTAAAAACTCTAAAAAGTATTCTTCAACCTTTATTGGACTTGTTGAAGTATCAACACATCTTAAAATAAGAGTCATTTGTTCTTGATGACTTGCATCTGGAGTACAATCAAGGATAACTGAAAAATATTTTGCTTCTTTTATTTTTTTAATGATCATTTTTTTAATTTCAGAAGCTAGCAACTCTATTAGTTCATTTTGCATTTTATGACTAAGATAATGATTTTGAATTTCACCTTCTTGAATACGTTTAACATGTTCTTGCATTATGGGATCAAATTCCGCTATCATTTCAACTAAGCTTAAAAAGTTTCCATTATTTTTTGCATATATCTCTTCTTTTGTTCCTCCAAATGCAAGATTATTTTTTGATAGATGTTTTACTATAGCAATAAGTCTTAGTAAGACTATTTTCCAGTGTTCTTTTTCTTTATTAATTTGTTCTTGAATGTTTTTATCTATTGTCTTATTTTTTTGTATATTAATTTGTTCTTGAATGTTTTTATCTATTGTCTTATTTTTTTGTAATCTTACTTCTAAATCCACCCATTTACACATATTAGTGATATGTTCATGACTTGTTTCATGATTTTTAATTTTATATTCAAGATTTTTCCAATCTCTAGTACCTTCGTTAACTAACTGACTTGTACTAGATTTTAAAGTAAATAATTTGCAACAAAAACAATAAACTCTATCTAAATCTTTTGAGTAAACTAACCACCTTCTTTCATGTTTTTCTCCATTTGATAATATTTTAATGTAATATGATGTAGAAAAGTGCCTATTATTTTCATCTTTATGAAAATCTACTTCTTCATATTTAATTGGACCTTTTTCAACTATTAGATCTATAAAATTTTGATCAATACATTTCCATTGTCCAGGATCATAAATATTGATAAGAATTGAATTTGATATCTCATTCATCTCTAAATTTTTTTCTTGGCCCTCGTGTGAATTTTCTTTATATTCTTCATTAAAATTAGTAGAACTAGTTTTTTCTTGAATATTACTATCGTTAATATCATTATTTTGTCCTAAATTCTCAACATATTCTTCTAATTCATTCTCAAGTAAAGAATCTAAAGGTTCATCTATTCTTTCTTCTTCTGTTGAAGTTGATGTAAAATTATCTTTATTACTAAAAACAAATTTATCAAGAGCTCCTTGTTGAGATAGAATTAATTTTTCAACTCTTTTTCTTTTTTTTCAATTTTTGACAACCACTTTCATATTTTTTATTAGGCATGCTTTCAAAATATAAAATAGCAAATAAAAAGCTTTCAATGTATATCTACAATATCTCTGATTCTCTAATTAAGCATAAAATGAATAAATGATAAAGAAAATTAAATAAGCTAGAAAGATAGAAATGTGGGAGTGGGACTGTGGGAAGCTGGGTCCTGGGAGCGGACTGCGGACTCCGGCCGAGAGCGGCCGCTGGCGGTCAGCGTGGCCCAGTGGAGCAGAACTCAGCGGAGCTGCGGAGGCGGCTGGAGTCTGGACTCTGGAGCTGCGGAGCGGAGCTGAGGCTGGCGGAGCGGAGTCTAGAGTGCGAGCTGAGCGCGGAGAGTGGGACCAGGTGCTAGCGCGGGCCCGCGGACCTCGCTGTCCGCTGCGGGGCGTGACTCGGTGTCGGAGTAGCCGACTGCCGAGTAGGAAAGAGTAGTAGAGGAGGAGTAGCCGAGTAGGAAGATCCGAAGTTCCGAACTCCGAAGAAGAGGAGCTTGGGGTTGATTCAGAGGATGATCTTTTGAGAATTGAGTTCGAGATTTGAGTCTCAGAGAGGAGGCGGCGGCGGTAGTGGGAGATTGGAGACAAAATAGGGTTAGGGTTTAGCTTAAAGTAGTTAAGTTATGAGTGGGTGGGCCTTACCCAACTTGAGGCCCAAGCTTAGTTGCCTTATACTAGGGCCGGCCCCCGTTACATATCTATTTATAAGGGAGAGGTGTGGATATTGTCCAATAAGACCAGGTTAACTGCTAGAAATACAGCATAGGATATGCTTCAATACAGGTTGATGAGGACAAGAAATGGTAATTTCCATATTTTATTAGACTTTCTTTTATTTTTGAATTTTGTATTTTGTATTTTGTATTTTGTATTTTGTATTTTGTATTTTAAAATTTAGTTGAGTAATTTGAGGAATTGTTGTTTTGTTTCTATTTTTTATTGTACGTTATGTGCACGTAGTTTTTCTTTATAAATAAGATTGTATGAGACTACTGAAAGGAAATGAATTATTGAATGAAGAAATATTTATTAGCTAAATTTTGGTGTGAAGCCTTGGGTGTGAAACCCTAGGCCAAATTGTTCTCCTCTGCCACAAACAGCCGACAAACCTTCTTTCTCCTCATACACAACCGCCAAATTTCTTCTCCCTCCCACGTTAACAATTTCCAAACCCAGCTCCCAACTCCTCTTCATCCCTCTCAACCACCCACCGCTCCTACTCCGAGCAGCCCCCGGAATCCCTATTCTCCACTCTCAAGCATCCCAACGCCACCGCCGACCTCATCCCGACACCTACCACCAATCTCGACCCGACAGGCCACCCGCGTCCTCACCGCTTTCATCATCTACCATCTCGACGCTGTCGATCGCGTCACTATTCAGTTTGACACCATTGCCGTCATCATCTTCCCGATTGACACCATCGCCTGCGTCGTCATCTAGTCAACGTCGTCGCCCTCGTCATCGTCAGTTCACACGCCGTGGTTATCGCTCAGTCGACGCCGTTTGTCATCGCTAGTTCACCCATCGACTCGTCGACCTGTCGCCACTTGATAGACCAGTTCGACGTCGTCGCACACGTCGTCATCCAATTCGCCGACGCCCGCCTCGTTTTTCAACACCGTCGCACTCGTCGTCATCGGATCTCCGCCTCGTCATCGTCGTTCAGTTCACAGTTGTCGTCGTACCACCTCCAGAGGTCTTTCACGTCAAGTCTGTTCACACCGACGAATGTTTCGTTTTCTTTCGTCCCTTATTTTTCTATTAATTTTATTTTGTTAGTTAATTGCATGAGTATACCATCTCTAAACTCTTATATTATATTCACTGCTGAGATTATACTTGTGAGTAGAGAGCAATTGAACATGTGGCTGTTACAGATCTGATATTGATTTTAGAACTTGCGAAATGATAATAAATATAGCAGTTATATTGTTTGAGATTGGAATTGTTCATGATTATTGATGCAAATCTTATTAAAATCCATCTGTCACATTAATCGCTTTGAATTTAATTTCCTACCGAAGATCATCATTTTTGACGAAATAGTGTGTTATTTGATTTGGATCGCTGATTCCGACAGACCCTCTGTCATCGTTTCGCATCACATGTTCATACAAATTCACGCCCATAAGAGAAGATTGAAAGAACACAGGTATAATGTTGATAATTGTGCAGCTCGCCACTGTTTATATCACCATGCCAACAAATTGACAGCTAAAGGAAATTTACATTATATATCATCTGAAGAATCTTTTAGATCTTCAAAAATCTGTTGTAGAGAACTCCATTCAACTGCCATGATAGTCACGACAAGAGGAACAATATCAAATTTTTGATATTCTGACACCTAATGTCCAAGTACTGTACGTACCGTGTTTATTTCATTATAGCTACATGAAACAAAACATAAGTTCCCTTTATTCCCTACAATTAATGGTTATTCCCTTCTGAACAAGTCCTGCATCATCTTTCTTTCCCCGAAGAGACAAAAATATCAATGTTCAGTGATTTAAACTAGTTGCCTCAGGGGAATTAGATCCTGAGAAGAACTTCAAGCTCCATACTTTGGTGCCTTCCAAAGTTTAAATGCCACCTCATGAAGAAATCGGTCTGCGAGTATGGCAAGATTTACTCCATACTGCACAAAAGATAGAAAAGTACCAATCAATTTAAAGTGAGAAAAACAAAAGGAATGGGAACACACACACATATATATAATATATATAGAGAGAGATGGGTATGCTTGGTACCAAGCATAAAAAGTTGTGTTTGGTAGTGAAGTGACACCCCCCTCCACTCATTAAAATAGTTACATATCCTCATGCACTCCTCAACTCATGCGAATGTGGTCCCCTATTTGAATGAGCGGAGGGGAATATGTCACCTTAATACCAAGCACAAAATTAGTGTTTGGTACCAAACATACCCATTTTTCTTATATATATATATATATATATATATATATATATATGAAATATGGGTATGCTTGGTACCAAGCACAAAAAATTATGCTTGGTAGTGAGGTGTCACATCTCCCTCCACTCATTCAAATGTAGGACTACATTCACATAGGTAATGAGTGGATGGGGATGTGACACATCACTACCAAGTACAAAATTTGTACTTGGTACCAAGCATACCCATATTTCTCTCTCTCTCTCTCTATATATATATATATTCCTTTTTTGACTAAATTTCACGGAAGGACCATGCCTTTTTTATGTTATTATTATAATTCTTTTTTCGGGTAGGGATGGCGGTAACTTTGCACAAAAGTACCATTAACATTTTTATTAAAGAAAACTACAATGAACTTTTAAAATTGTAGAAAATATCATGAACTATTGTACATTGTTGCTTAAGGCGCTAACATCTTAGATGAAAGGTGTAAACTAGCCTTATTAACATCATGAAGTCGGAGAGGGTAAGAGGGTTATATGAAAGATATATAAAGCACAGAAGGGAAAATTTGCCTAAAACTTTGCATGTCACTAATTACCGTAACTTTCGCGATGTATGCTAATTTCGTGAAGAAATTTCACGATAGTTTTCATTAATAAAAAAGGCATGGTAGTTTTGTTCAGACTACCCCAAAATTCACGGTAATTATATGAAATTTACCCTTTTCTTTATTGAGACATTGGGATATCAAAGGAAATCAATGGCGATGTCATTCGACTTATTAAGTAGCAAAAATAAAGTTGAAGAAGAGAAACTTAAGGAGTTCTAATAAAGACATTCCCGAAAGTCTCAAGTTCTAATCATGCCTTCAACCAACTTAATAAGAGAAAATCTCTCTACTGATTAGGGGAGAATATGAGTTCAATGTGAAATTTTGAATGAAGTAATGCATGCAATAGTGGACACTATACAGTTGTAGGATGGATCAAAGCAGAGTTATCACAAAGTAGAGTGTGACACAATAGATGCTCTATGCACAGAGGTAAATATATCTAACTAATATTTAATAGAGCAACAAAAAAGAACTGACTTTTAATCTCGAGGAACTATAGCCTTAGTAAGTAATGGCCACAAGTAATACGTCATAGCAAAACATTCCAGGTTATAGAAAGCATCAATATATTAGAGGACCTACTGTGATAATGCCTGAAGAAAATAGACAACCCAACTAGTGGCAATTATATCAATGAACATAGATTGAAGGGACCATGGCAGAGATGCAAGTGCAGTAAGAATCGTTTAAGGACATTAGTTTACTACTAATACTTGCATCAGTCAAAACAAATCAAACCAATTAAAGGTTTTTCATTGATTCAGAATCCAAGAGAGGCAACCATTGGAATTTCAAACTGAGAAGATCCAACAGCCATGAGTACAATTTTATAGATGAAATATTGACATGTAACAGATGTTTCTATTATTCTTGTCATATCATATCATTCACCATATTACTGGTAAGAATATCAAAAGCATATGGAAAATCATTTTGTGATGAACATTTTTATATAAAATTGTAATGTACAGTCGATTCAACTCCATCTTTCATGCAACAATAAGTACTAAAATGGTTAAAAATGTTACAGATCCCTGTATATCTTGCTATTCACTCTTCTGAACCACTAAAGAACAGTGACTTCTTATGGTTCCCACACATGTGTCTGACGCATAGGAGTACAAATTAGATGTTTGGCATATCCAAGTCCTCTTTATATCAACAAATTCTTAAAGAAATATGATTGTTTGCCTGTATAAACCCAGTTAAACTATCTTTAACTTTTTATTAGGTATACGCAAACAGGCCCCTGAATTTATAATTAACCTCAAATCATAGGTAAACCATCACATGCACAGCTGAATAACAACTTAAAGACCTAGTGGACATCCATGCGCTCCAGGTATATGGATAAGCATGTGAAAAGAAAATTATATACTGGAGGTGGTAGAGTTCCATAGATCATCTATCACAGTAAGGATCAATTTAAACAACCATACCTTATTATTTATATCCAAGGCTAGAATCTCCACATCCAGCTAAATCTCAAAACATGATCAAGTTTTTGTACAGTAATAAAAGAAAATACATTTGAGGATAGTGGGAAAAAAGATTGCACCTATCATATTAAATCAACAGTCATAAGCATGCATCACATCTTACATAAACCACAGTAGACGTCACATACTGACATGCATGCATTAATTAATTCAATTCAAATTGAATAGTTGACGGAGATTGATATATGGATTCCTAAAAAACGGAATAAAGAACCAATACCTCCTTAAATTCTCTGAATGAAAATGCTTTAGACAGATCTTTGCGAGTTACTCCCTCCTGCCATTGTGCAATTAACATTGGATGATGATGCCTGCAAAGTACAGATTAGACATTTGTTACATGTGAACTACCCATGACAAACTCTAGTAATTTATAAATTACCATATTCACCTAATGTCATTTAATATTTTTCCTCCTTTCATGGTATAACTTTGACGAGGACGAAGCAAATACAGATCAGAATTTTTTTCTATTGAAGAGTTCACATTCAAAGAGTAGCGGTCCAAATCCTCGGAAACAGTAAGAAAGCTCAATACTATAGAAAAATGTAAGCGAGAAGCAATAGATGATCCAAGCTGAGCTGTCTGCATGATTCTGCCAACTAACTTGTTGAGCCAATCAACATCTCTGCTGATCACTGGTTTTTCTTTTTGGTCTTTGGGCTTTGCACTATTTATAATGTGCAAAAAGACTAGATCAAACTCACACTTCTCTAGAACATTGCCTCCAGAAAAACCTAGAAGCTGTAGCACTTTAGCTGCTGCTGTAGCATCATCCGGGTCTTCTTTAGTTAACTCATTCAGTTCGAGAATGGTGAAACCAAGCTTACTTGCAAAAGACCTAACATTGGGGCACTTAGTGAATATAGCAGCTCTCAAACCCATAAACCTACAATTTTGATAAAGGATAGGATAAGTGACATGAATAAGTTAATAGACATATACAAGTTGAACAAAACTCAGCCTCTGCATGCTAAAAGTAAACCTTTTTTTACCTCTCTGTTATATTTTGCAGTTGAAGCTCCTTTTGATTGACATCAGCGTCCGCTTCACCATGTTTTTCATTCTGAGAGTTCATGGATGCTAGTAATTAGAGTGGCCCAATTAAGCCATCAAGAAGTCTTCTACCATCCATATAATAACTTAAAAAGATAACGACTTACATTTGATTTATAGATGTCATATGCATCCAAAAGTTGCGCTAAATCACTGATCACTCTGTCATTTCTGGTCTCTGAGACTTAAATTAAGTTGGCATAATAGAAAAGAGAAAATAGTGAGCCAAAGTCTAGTGAACATAAAATCATAGAGAAAAAAAAGATGGACACTAGGGAACAATTTTTTTCTCCAAGATGCAGCTAGCCAATGCAATTGCCTTTGTGGTACAATACTTAACAATCACTTACAGGAACAGAAAAGAGTTGCACGCTATGCAACCCAATTTGAACATACACATGTATGCACATGCACGTGTAAAATGCCACATGACACATGCACATGCTACACACATGCCGCATGAACAAGCAGAAAAGAAGAGCAGAAGAAGAAAAAAGAATGGAAGAAAATATAATAGGAAAAATGAAAATATGCATACTTTGGTGATTGCATATCTAGTATTTGAAAGAAAACAATTTTATATTCCGAAACATATAGATTTGAGTCCAAGATTATCAAAATGGTGCGCCAAGGTTCACTACATCAATGGCAAAACCTCAAAGGTGGAAATAATGGAATTCTTTGTAGTTTCATCAGCTCTTAGCTGCTTTAGCAGTTGTCCTACAAGTCAAAAGTCTAGCATTTATAATCCAGAATGAAAACTGCCATCCACTGAATAGAACAAGACATAACACATCTTTACTTACAATAGGATCATAAAAAACAACGCTCAGTGACTCATTGTACTAGGGACTTTTAGCATAGGTGTACAAAAAATTCAAAAATGGTCATAAACCGATCAAAACTGCCAAAAGCCCTCTAATTCCCAGTAACAGTTAAAGATTTTCCATGTAGCATACTTTGATGGAAGATGATTACAACTAAAAGTTTCATCATTAGAATGGTAAAGTCAAATTGTGAGAAAGTGCTACAGTATACAACACAGATATTTCAATCTCCAACCAAAGAGTCAAATAGAATTTTTTTAAAAGACCCAAATCAGGTATATGAGTCAGATCATGTAGACACAACAAAGTAATTGAATAAGATAAAAATTTTGAGTGCATGTCACACTTAAACAATGACAGAAATATAGACTGATGTTTGGTTCATAAAAGAGTGAGAATAAGGAAAAGAAAATCTCAGTTCAAAAAACATTTCCTTGCTACACATGAAGAAACAGGATGATAGAAAGGTTATTTCTAACTTATGTTCCATCAATGCATTTCTATACTGTCTCTTTTCGGCATTGCATTGTTCCTTATTATTCAGAATCTATAAATGTCTGACCTAGATTATTCTCATTCATAACAATGAAGCAACGGTGAGTATGGTTCACCTAGAAGGAATGTTACAGGACATTGAAAGGGAGAACCCAAAGTTCTGCTATCCTACATTTATTTCTCAAAATGATGTCATGTTCTGGTACAAAGTTGAAGCAGTCCCATCAACATTGGTCATATACACATCTTCTTAAGTGTAACAGTAAACACTAACTTATAGGCCAAACAAATAGCTACAACCTCCCCATAAGCATTGATTAAGATTGATAAACTATACTATGGTCATTGTACACGCCACCCTACATAGTACGTACCTTATTGTAGATACGAACCTATATAGTTTCTCAAACATTTGACAAACTATGGTTATATATTCAAATCAAACCTACGCACCTTATTGTAGAAATGCAACCTCATACACAACATAAGGGTGAGAAGTCCAACATAAACCACCAGGAGACTAGAAGGAACTTTTCTCCTGATACTAGCAAGACAAGAGCAAAGATTTATAATTGCATGTAACTGTCCAACTTCTCACTAAAGCTTGTAATCTCAACATCAGTATCAAGCAGGTATTCTTGTATCAGTACAGGGAATTTCGATGATTTCAACAGCTTTATATCTGAAGTGTTTGATTCTCGCTGTCAGAAAAATTCTCTTTTGTAGTCGATTACAAAATATGTACAAAATCAATAAAAGGTTGTAACTTTTGGAACGTTTAGATCACCGAAATAACTTCATACTTAGATATATGAATTTCACTCATTTGTTCAACGTTTTCCCAATTATTCGTGCTCTCTCATTTAATGATATATAAAGACCGAATAACTAATTCTAGCTCATCTCAAACCAGAACAGGCCGAAATTGACTCCAACCCACAACTCCATCAAATTCAGGGAGCAATTTGTAATTAAGAGAAGTTGAGGGGGGTGGTGAGAAAGTACCATCTCTGAGAGAGAGGAAACCGCAGGAAGCAAGAGAAGCAAATGAATGGAGGTTGGAGTGGGATGGAGAGACTGAAGAAGCACAGCCATCGCCGTAGATCACCAGAGCTCTGCTTGGCTTGTCTGCCATTGATTAATTCACTTCGGAACTGAGAGGAGCAAATGGGAAAAATTGGGGATGATTGATTCCCTCGGGGGGGCGGTAACGGGTGGGATTGATGTCGGATCCTAATTGATCTGCGATCGGTGGGATTGATTTTGGGCGTCTCCTTCCACCTGCGGGTTTGTTGTTGGGCGGGCGTTGGCCGGTTCGAACTGCGGCCGACCATCGAGCCTGTCTTGGGTCCAAACCCGGCCTAGCTCACGGTGGGTGGTGCCCGAGTCGGCTCGTGATATATCTGTGTTGTGGGTGTCCGATCTAAAGCCGGGAGGCAGAAGAGTAGGCCCGGCCTAATGCCCGGCCCAGTCCATACACAGCCCGGCCTTGGATGATAGTTATATGGTGATGTAATTTTAGTAGCAAATCAATTGGAAATAACAATTTTCATATGCTTGAGTCGTAATTTTAGTAGTAATATAGATTTTCTAAACTCTATTCAGTATTCTAATGGATATTTTGTAGTCATTTTGATTTACTAAATACGCTCAAATTATTATGAAATCTTTGAGATAATTTCTTCACCGATTGTAAATTTATAGGGTTTAGAATTTTCAAAAAGATAAAATACAGATTTCCTTCTTTAAGTTGTATATAATAATCTCGCAAAAGTTTTGAAAAAATTTTGAAAAGAAAAGAATGCGGGCCGACCTATGACCCGCACAGCTATGGAGCGGGTCGGACCTAGCCCAGCCCCATGTGAGTCATGGGTCAGGCTGGATCTAGCCCCAAAACCGGGGAAACTCCTCGGCCCAGCCAGCCAAGGCCCTCCCGAGCCCAGGTCTGAATCAGCTTGGTCCAAAACCGAACGGGCTAATTCATGGGTCAAACCCAGCTTGGTCCACGCTCACCCCTATTTGTAAGCTGATTTTAAACAAGAACAAGAAAGTAAGAGTAGGTAAATTGGGTCTCCTCACTTTCCATTGTTTGATTCACACAGAGACATTCTAGGAAAATATGAATGTAATCATCCAGGTGAGGTTACCATCCTAACATGTCTTGATACATACCAATTTGATTTGGTGAACATTCCACGCAACAATAAAAATTTTGCTCCAATATTCATATGTAGCCAACAGTAAAAATAGAGCAGCGATGGAACAATAAACAACTAAATGGTCAAATTATTGTAGTGATATTATTGTTATAGCCTAAAAGTAACTTAGTGTTAACTTTCCTTGAGAAACTAACATGTGTCTCGCACAATGCCTAATCAGACTTGTGTATAACTTGGACGTATCAAGTTGCTCATGCGTCCAATTCTATTAGCCGACAAACTGCGTAACCGAGTAAAAAGACGGTACTTGTTGTCATCCAACCCAACCAATCGCCTCTGCAAATAACCCACATTCGGCCTGTTATATCAACTGATAACTTGCGTAGCCGACTAAAATGGCGGTGTTTGTCAGCCATCAGCCAGACGACTGAAGAGGTGGTAGTTTTCTTAAACCATGCGCCGACAGGGGCGTAGCCAGAGCTTCCTTGCCCTGGGCAACTGCCCAGGGCAAGAAACTCCGCCTCTCCCACGATCTCTCCCTCCTCCCCTCGCTTCCCCTCCTCTCCCGCCACTTCACCTCCCTCTCACACAGATCCAACCTCCTCTCCCTCCTCTTCCACGACCTCCATCTCAACAATCCTCAGTCCTCCTCCCTCTCCCGCGCCTCCCTCCTCTCCCTCAAGATATACTCATAGACCACCTTTATTTTTCGCCTAGGGTAAAAAATAATCCTGGCTACGCCACCGGCGCCGACAGCCACATGCGCTTGCATTAACTGATTTGACAAAGTCATCATTGCTCTAGTCCCCAAAATCTTTATGATTTATCAGGCTCCATCAACACCAAGCAACTCCTGTCGCTTGGCACTAACCACCTGTATGGCCCATCTTCGTTGGCGGCCGACACCTGTCAGCTGTCTGTCGAGTTAGTTGTCTGCCTAGACTCAGCTCAAGTTACCTATCTACCCTTTTGATCCTTTATAAAAGGAAGTCATGCAGCTCAAGGCAACTCTCTGGTCTTTTGACATAACTCTGGAACGTTTTCATCATCTCACACTTTTCCATTCAAGTTCATATACTGACTTGATCGTCGAAGGAACAACCGGAGAGTCCAACTCCGGCCTCTCACGAGTTTCATGTGCAGGAGAGGGTTGCAGGTTCCCGAACCAGCCATTTGAAGAAGCTTGAGGACCCTAATACTCTTCTAATCCACTCGTAAACTCCCTATTTTATAACTACCATCAACAATTATCATTTGTTATTTGCAACATTCAAATTATTATAGTGATATTATCATTTGTTACTTGCATCATTCAAAATGACAATCTAACAATGTATTTACCAGTGAATAACACAATGTACACAAGATTACATAATAGCATATTAAGTAAATAAGTGTCATGCATTAAACTGAACATTAGCATCATATTAGCATCGTGCATGAAGTTGCATGTAACATGCTCTTAATTAGATATAAACGACCCCAATTAAGCACAACCAGACAGCATGCACAAACGCATGAAGGGGAAAAAAAATTAGGGCAGCAACAACAACTACACCCAGTTTGCTTTCAAAAAGAAACTGCACCGAGTTCTACTGTAATTAACTGTGCATTACTAGTTGGCATTTTTAAAAAAGCAAAGAAATATAATGGATTTGGATCCTCTCCACTACAAAAAGTAGTGGAGAGACCACTACTTTTAATCTTAATTATTGATTATTTAGTAGGCGGTTATGTTACAATCTAAATCTAACATTCACCATATCACCATGTATTGCACTTATTCCTAATTTGCATTCAAAGAAAAAATCATAATCATCAACTAGATAATCAATGGTTATGATTATGTAGTGATCTCTCCACTACTTTTTAAATAGTGGAGATGATAAGCTCAATTGATTTATAGATTCATGACTTGGGCTGGACCGGCCTCGATGAAGCCCCAAAGTTGATTCGGCTTAGTTCATATAGGGCACGAGCCATGTTGGGCCATGGCCAGACCTAGAACTAGGTGTTTTTAGCTAGACTTAGGGGTGTCCAAAAAGCTCGTTGCGTCCGGCCCGGTCAGGCCTCGGCCGAAAACCCGGGCCAAGTCCGGGCTCCGGGCCGGGCCCGGCGGCTCTTTGATGCCCGACTCGGCCCGGCCAGGCCCAGAATTTTATATTTTTTTATTTTTTTTATTATATATGTTATAATATATGTATATATAAATATATATATATATATATATATGTTATGTAATTATATTTTTATATATGTATATATATGTATATATATATAATATATTTCTATATATGTATAATATGTCATATGTGTGTTATATATATATACCTCTCTTAGTATATAAAGTATATATAAATATACTCTCTCTTATATAAGTATTATATGTATAACTATATATAAGTATACTTTCTCTTATATAATATATATAAGAATACTCTCTCTTATATATGTATAATGTATGTATGTATATATATACTCTCTCTCTTAGTATATATGTATATATAAGTATACTCTCTCTTATTATATGTATACTCTCTCTTATATAAAGTATATATAAGTATACACTTTTATATATATAATATATATATATATATATATATATAGTATATATATATATATATATATTATATATATATATTAATATATATATATATATATATAAAATATATATATATGTGTGTATATATATATATATATATATATACTCTCTCTCTTAGTATATATGTATATATAAGTATACTCCCTCTTATATATGTATACTCCATCTTATATAAGTATACTCTCTCTTATATATGTATAATGTGTGTGTGTACTCTCTCTCTTAGTATATAAGTATATATAAGTATAGTATATTACAACGACTACTTCTTCCTCATTGGCCCAACGGGCAACGGCTACTTATGCGATTCTCTCTCTCTGAAGTTATAACTTATAAATATATACAATATATTTTACATATAATATATGTATATATAATATATAGTTACATAATAATTTGTAAGTATATACTAATACGTAAATAATTTATTAATTATTAATAAAGAATTTATTTTTATAATTTTTTATTTGTAATTTATGTTATTTTAAGTGATTAATAAAATTATTATTTTTTATCTTTTTTATAATTTAAAATTTAAATAAAATTTAAAAAATTTGATAAAAAAATTTTAAAAAAAAAGAAAATAAACCGGCCCGGCCCGGTCGGGCCCAGGTCCGGGCTCCGATTCTGCCCGGCCCGGGCCCGGATTTCCGGGCCGTGCCGGGCCGGCTCGGATGGACAGGTCTAGCCGGACTCGCATAAGCCCAATTGATTCTAGGCCCAACTCAATCCGAGGGCAACTATTGTGGGTTAAGTTGTTAGTCAAGCCAACTCAGCCCGCAAGCCATCAAATTCCGAGTTTGATCATTTTGATTTTTCATTGACTAGATATATGATGTGCAAAAACGCCTATCTATGTATTTCAAACATGTAAGATCTATTTTATTTTATTAAACCTAAATTTATAAACTATTAGAGTTTCCATAATCCAATCCAACTGTTGAGATATCTTTTTCTCGTTGGGTTTTAACATTGAATCAGAATATTCTAGTAAGTTAGATTCTTCAATGAAGTGGGGGGCGGGGGTAAGAGGGAGGGAGACTTTTGTTATGGGTCCAGTCTAAGATAAGGCTTACATGAGGTCCACATGAATTAAATTTCTATATAGAAGAGTATTTGGAGGATCTAGTTATAATAGGAATATGTTTGGATGACCTGAAAATAAAATTCTTTTATAAAGGAATTCTATTCAAGAGAAAGCTGTATTTTTTTGTATGCTACAGTAAACCGTGAATAGAAACCCGAGAGAAGAAAAGAGGGGGGAGAGAGAAAAGTTCAGATTCCGGATAGCTCGGTTGTCCGATTACAGTGATTCAAAAGTTGCTGTCTTCAAAACGACGACGCCATCGAGGGTACGGTGTTGGTTTCTCCGTGAGTGTTGGAGATTTTTGGTGAGACGGGTTTTAGGGGTTTGATGCCTAGAGGTAACAATGTATCTTTCTCTTGTGATTTAATCCTCAAGTTTAGGTGGAACTTGGTTGTACTCTTGATTCATAAAGAAATATTTCTCTATATATTGCCCCATGGACGTAGGCACGATATTTCGAACCACGTTAAATCTTGCTGTTTGC